GAAAGGAAGGTACTACTATAGAATGCAAATAATATTCTATGTATAATAAAGTATAACTGATAAGAGAGGCCATAGACATACATGAGCAGAAATGTAATTGAACAATTATTGAGATAACCTTTGTCTATTATAAATTAAGCCAAAATGCATGATAATATAGCTGAGATTAAACACCCAGACATCATTGGACCTCTCCTCTCTCATCTCTCTCTCTCTCTTTATGTTTCAGACACAACTAATATACAACTTATATTTATACAGGGAGTCCATTCATTATAGAAAAATAATACAAAAAGAAAAAAATAAAGATCATTCATAATTCCACCACCAAGAACAGCCACCATTTTTTTAGTTATTGTTGTTTTGTTTTGTTTTTCAATTACTGTTATAATACAACTAGAGGCCCGGTGCATGAAATTTATGCACAGGGAGGGGAGTCCCTGAGCCCAGCCTGCACCCTCTTTATTCTGCTGGTTTAGGCCCGATCCCTGCCAATTTAGGCCCGATCCCTGCTGGTTTAGGCCCGATTACGGACATCCCTTTCGTAATCTGGTTCCTAACCGCTCACCTGCCTGCCTGCCTGATTGCCCCTAACCACTCTGCCTGCCGGCCTGGTCACCACTAACTGCCCTCCCCTGCCAGCCTGGTTGCCCCTAACTGCCTCTGCCTCGGCCCCTGCCACCATGGCTTTGTCTGGAAGGATGTCCAGAAGGATGTCCGGAAGATGTCCGGTCTAATTATCATATTACCCTTTTATTATAGATATTATTTTAGTATAGATATTATATTAGTTTCAGGTGTTCAACATAGTGATTGCATATTTATATAACTTATGAAGTGATGAACCCAATAAGTCTAGTACCATTTGACACCATACATAGTTATTAAATATTATTGATTATATTCCCTTTACATCTCTGTGACTGTTTTTATAACTGGCAATTTGTACATCTTAATCCCTCCCCCTTTTTCAAAACCACCCCCCCCCAACTCTTCTCCCATCTGGCAAACATCAATTTGCTCTATCTATGAGTTTCTGTTTTCTTTCTTTGTTTTGTTTTTTAGATTCCACATGTAAGGGCGATCATATGGTATTTATCTTTCTCTTTCTGACTTATTTCACTTGCCATAATACTCTGTAGGTCCATCCATTTTGATGCAAATGGCAAATTTTAACTTTTTTATGGCCAAGTAATATTCCAGCACATATATGTACCTCTTCTTTATCCATTCATATACTGATGGACATTTAGGTTGCTTCCATATCTTGGCTATTGTAAATAATGCTGCAATGAATATAGGGGCACATACATCTTTTCGAATTAGTGTTTTAGATTTCTTCAGATGAATACCCAAAAGTGGAATTGCTGGGTCATAAGGCAGTTCTATTTTTAATTTTTTGAGAAGTCTTCATCCTGTTGTCCATAGGGGCTGCAAGGAAGAGCCATAGTTTTGCTCAGTGTCCTGGTCTGTGTCTATGTGAATCCACTATATCTATGTAAATGTCAATGTATATGTAAATATATGGTTACATATATAGGCTCATACTTTACATTCTGTTCAGTAGACTTCTTTTCCTGCTCAGCAGTATATCATCTCAGTAAATATAAAAGGTGCATTATCATTTGAAATTACTCTATGGTATTCTATTTTAAGTAAATCCATAATTTATTTTGACCATCCCCTATTGCTAGAAATTTGAGGTGTAATCACATTTTTTAAAAATATATTTTATTGATTTTTTACAGAGAAGAAGGGAGAGGGGATAGAGAGTTAGAAACATCGATGAGAGAGGAACATCGATCAGCTGCCTCCTGCACACTCCCTACTGGGGATGTGCCCGCAACCAAGGTACATGCCCTTGACCGGAATCGAATCTGGGACCCCTGAGTCCGCAGGCTAACGCTCTATCCACTGAGCCAAGCCAGTTAGAGCTGTAATCACATTTTTCTCTCATAAACTCTGCGATATAAATATCCTTTATGCTCAGCCTATTTGGACATGTTAGCAGAGGTTCTTACCATGGCACGGGGCAATTTTTTTTTCTCAACCACAGATGTTATCACTGGTCTTGCTCTAGGGGGCTGCCTTTGTGTAGGCAATAAATAACACTTGAGGTTCTGAGGAAGTCCCGGATGTGAACATAATAGTACCCGTTTAAAGAACTTCATACCGAAATATGACTCGGCAGCAAACAACACAAAGAGTAAGCTAAGCCGAAAAAAAATACATAGTGTTAATAAGGTGTAGAACCTTGGTATTGGGTAATCGTGTACATATAAAATGGCCTAGAAATTTTTCAGAAATATAGACTTAAAAAATAATAGAAAATAAAAAATCTTGGAACAAATAATTTCTAATTTGCCTTTCCAATTTATTTTACATCAGACAGAGATAGGTAGTGATACATAATTACCTCCTGCCATACCTGAGTTATTTCATTGGGTAATGTCAAGGGCCACATAGATAAGTAAGGTGCTAAATTAGTTTTAATAAAATGTATTCAGAATTCCAAAGCAAAAGAAATTGGAGGAAGTCTTAGCCACTGAGCTCAGCTTGTCTGTGAACATATGTCACTTTATTGAGAATCTACTCTGTTCCAACAGAAAAAATAGTCCAGATCTGCTCCTAAACACAGTCTAAACGGCAGGAGGAGTCAGGTCACTGCAAATTGGGCTACACTGTTTAAGAAGTTGGATTTCTGAATATCTTACAACTTATAACTTTCAAATATTTACTGATAGGACATCTGAACAATCCATGTTCATTTTAGAAAAAAAAAACAAGAAAAATAAGCAATATCCTGATCCTCTTCAATTTGACTGCTGAGTCACTTGGAGCAATCGGTTAACCTAACTGAGCCTCCATAAAGTTGCCATAAAAATGCCCAATTTGTACTCTTCATAGCAATACAATATTAATTAATATGAGTTTTTTGAATGTCTGAGGTAGCATTACAACACATTGCACTTGGTCATTTTGGTATTTATATTAAATTTTTTTAATGCTGTGTTTATATTCACAGACAAGTCAACTCCTCATTGTCTAATTTTAAGCATTTCTTCAGGCCCATTTTTGAGCTGAGGTTGACTTCTGCCAGCATCTCAACCCATTTTAAGGGGGATTGTTACTGGAAAGTGCTACGTTGGGCATTCCAGGTCATTTAATATTGGCTTCTGGCAAACACTGGAGCAAGGGCACCACCACCCCCACCCGAAAACTTCCTTCTGTGCCATTTACCTCCCATCTCTTCTGCTCGCTCCCTGAGTCTTCTGCTGGCCCTTCCACAGCTTCTTCCTTAACTTGCTCGCCCTCTTTGTGGCTCTTTTGTCTCTTCCTTCCGCCCTTGGCCCTTGAGCATGACATTCCCTTCTCTCTCCAGTCAACCCCTCCCTCCCTTTTCTTTCCTGTTCCGGTTTTTTCCCTCCCAGCAGTGGTTTTATGGAAATTGTTGCCCTGGCCACTTGGGGTACCTGCTCAGTGGCCCATAGTGCTCCCATTTGAGGGCCAGCCCACAGCACTGCTAGGCCTCCCCATTTGTTGGTAGGATGAGAAGGAAGACAGAGTCGCAGTGTCTCTTCCCACCCGCACCCCCTGACCTGTGTTTGACCCCACTCCTCCTCTCAGCTCCATGGCCTCCCTCATTATTATATGGGACAGTGCTATGAGAGTGTCAGATTGTTTGGGGGCACGTTTCAACACTAACCAGAAGCCACCAGGCCTTCTCACCAGTGTACAATGACACCAATATGTAAGCATGACTTTTCCTGGAACAGATTATGTAAAACATTTCAGCAGATATTCAGCAATTCCCCAAGTGGGAGGACAACCCTGCCCTGTAGGAATTCTCAGCTCTAGTCCTTAAACAAGCACAAAATTGTCCCCATCCTTTTAGGGGTTGGGTCAGTCAAGATGGTAGCACAATTAAGATGTCCAGGACAGTTCTAAGTAGGTGGTTCAAGGTCCCAAAACCTGAGGGAGGAGGCATGACTGAGTGCATGGAGTCAGGTGAGTCTCTGTGTGCGGGTGGTTCGCAAGTCCACCCTCAGGCTCAGCGATTCACTGGAAGGACTCACAGGACTCAGAGAAGCTCTATGCTCCTGATTACGGCTCATTACAGCAAAAGGATGCCCATTAAAATCAGCAGAGGGAAAAGATGCATGGGCAAAGTCTAGGAGAAACCGGGCGCAAGCTCCCAGGTGTCCCCTCCCAGCAATGCCACACGTTACTGTGCATTTAATTGTTTAGCAACAAATCGCAGCAACACATACAAAGCATTATCAGCCTTGGTGTCCACGGTGTTTGTTGGGGTCAGTCACATAGGCACACCGCCGCCTGCATGACTAACCTCGGCTACTCAGGCTCCAGCCCCCAGGGCAAACATAGGTGTTCAGCATAAATCACAGCATTGGCATCAGCTCTCTGATTACACTGGTACTCCGTGGCCCCGTGCCTCAGGCATACAAAACACTCATCAGGCAGAATACTTCAAGGACTCAGGGCTCATCTCTGAGGAGCCAGTCTCGAAAACCAGTCTCCCTTGGGAAGGGGCAGGAGTGGAGCAATCCGGACCTGTGAGTTTTCCTTCTCCTGCTCACAGTCCCCGGATCCAGACACTGGAAGACTTTGGCCACCTGACAGCACCCTGGCCCCTCAACTATTACCTCCCCAAAACATCCTCTACCTTTCACATAGACTCATTGTGATATATAACAATAACCATTGAATGTTTTCAAAAACAGGCCATCTGCAGCAAGGATACATTATTACTGTTATGATCATCATCATCACCATTGCCATATTATGTTATTATCATAATCACTATTATTCAGGGGGCGGAGGCATGGGAATGAGCCCTAATGCTCCCTTGTGATCTCAGCACAAGTCAAAAGTGCCTTTTTCCAGATTCTGAAGATCAAGACAAGTTCGGAGTAGGGCGTCTCCACTCCACTGGGGGTTTAACCTTGTCCTGTCTTTCTCTCTCTCCCTCTCCCTGGCAGTGGCTCAGAAACCCAGGCCCTCAGCATGAGAAGCGGACTCTGTTTGGAGACATGGTGTGCTTCTTGTTCATAACGCCCCTGGCCACCATCTCGGGCTGGCTCTGCCTGCGGGGCGCCGTAGACCACCTGCACTTTAGCAGTCGGCTCGAGGCCGTCGGACTGATTGCACTCACTGTCGCACTCTTCACTATTTACCTCTTTTGGACACTAGTAAGTATGGCCAGGCCCTGGGGACCAGGCCAGCCAAAGCTGGCAGCCCCACAGTTGGCATGGCCTCCCCTCTTGTCTGGGTCACACCTCACCTGCCCGGTTCAGGCAGCTAGAGTGTGTGATTTGGTTTGTTACTACCGGGGAGGCGGGGGGGGGGGGGGGGGGGGGAGGGGGACGTGAGCAGGCACACGCTGCTGAGACGAGCAGATCAAGTAAAGAAAAAGCCTCAGCTTCTGAGAGCCCACCAGTCAGAGACACACACCTGAACATTGCTCTCCTCGGCCACCGAGGCTCCATGTGTGAGGAGGCGTTCTCCTTCCCTTGCTTATGTTCCTCACTTTTGCGGGGATCACAGTAAATGGTGAAGGATGTGCTTGGCACTGCTGCTGTGGCTGCCTGCACAGATCATGAATCCTCCTGCTGGTTACTGTCTTACACCCTGACACAGTAAAGTCTCGCTGGGCGTGGAGCTGCCCTGCGCCTGGGGATTGTTCTGTGTTGGGATATTGACTCTGCTGCCCATAAAGACACTCATTTATCTGGCTCAGAAGCTGCCACCAAAGAAAAACCATTTCCCAGTAAGTGTTCCCTCTGCATATGAGGAAGAATTTTAAAACATCTCTCTCTTTTTTTCATTCTTTAACTTGTGGAGTTGGTTGCTCAGGCACCAGTTGGCAGCACCCACAAAGTACAGCATTTGATCTCTCTTCATGTTTCCCTCCAGGGCCTGCAGAGAAAACGTCACTATCTAGAATCGTTTCTGGAACTGGGCCCCTGCTTCCCAGCGTTACTCTCCTGTGCCTGCTGGTTTCTAATCTGAGCACGTCCCATTGTCATTCAATATGCATTTCCTGTCTGAAGTGTAGTTCCCATTTCCCACAGCACAGCGTCCGCGTGTGGGAGCTTCCATGGCTCCCATTTCCACCCAAGTCCTGCCCACCAGTGGCCATTCCTGCCACGCTGACCCAGCCCCTGCTCATCGCCCCCCCGCCCCCAACCGCCCCCTGGTGTGAGTGCTCCCTCAGTAAGTGGGGAGCACAGCTCAGTCTCAGGGAGAGGGACCTGACCTGAGCCTTGGTAGACAGGGAGTGTTCTGATGCTTCGGACTTTAACTGAGTCTTCGGATTCATTTAGGCCTCTGTTCCCAGCCTAATTAAGCCCCCAAACAAAGCTAGTATTGCCTTCTTTGAAAGTCTCTGTGCTTCCAAAGTGTATCTAATTCATTACGAATCAAGCAATGAAGCTGACTCAGAAGTCACACGGACATTGTGCTGGGAAGAGAGCTAGAAATAAGGAGTTAAATAGTCTGGCTAGCTCAGTGTAAAGTCATGTCACTGCTCTGGGCCTCAGTGTTCCCATCTGTAAAGTGGAAATGGTAGTAACACCCACCCTGCCAACTTCCCGTGGTGCTACTAGATTGAAATGGAAGTGTGCAGGGGGAAATACTTTGGAAAATAATAGTTTACCATGATTAGAGGTTTATTTGTCTACCATTTTTCTTAGACAAGTTCCTAAAATGAAGATGTAGATTTGAATACTGGCTTTCAAACCAATTGAAGCCTTTTTGAAAACCAGCTTTGTAAAGCATCCACTTACCTAACAAGGTAGAATGGGGGACAGGGGCATGGAAGGAAGAAATGAAAGAAAGAATTATGTAGATAAATATGGATGTGAGGATGTGACCCTGTTTGATCTCCCATTTGGATGAAAGGAAGGTTTGGGTGGGAAAGGTACCTGGAGTCGGTTCTTTCAGGAGAGAGATAATGTAGTACTTCATTCCTGAGAGGCAGCATAGGAAAAAGTGCATGTGTTCAAACCCAAGCATCCTAATAACTGTGTGACTTTAAACAAGGTACTTAACCTCTCTGATCATCCTTCCCCTATGCAAAAAAAAAAAAAAAGGAGGGAATGATTGATAATCCCAGGGTCAATGGGCTATTGTGAGGATTAGGTGGGATTACATGGGAACGTATATCAAAGCACCTAGCAAAGGCACCCTGGTTTCCTTCCTGTGGCTTCCCTGCTCCCCCAACTCCCACCACCACCACCCCCCCCCCCCCCCGGCCCTCTATACAATGCAAAACAGTGGAAGGAAAAGAAAGGGTTTCTGCCCTTTGACTGTTGTGAAAAGCGTGCTCAGCAGTGAGTGTAGACTCTCTGCTTCCCAGAGACATGCTGCACTGAACTGCCCTGGCAAGAGCCGTAATTCAGAAGCTGACAGCACTTGGAAACTGCCCTCCAGCAGAAACCCATTGTAAACAAGCTGTCAAGCTTAAGGAGAAAATGCTGTGAAAATGTCTTAGATAAACAAACATGGTGTCAGTCCCACTCCTCAGAGGAGCCTTCCTGGAAGGGCCTCTCGGGCTCTGTGAAGAGGGCCGTGCATCCACGCTGAGCACCTAAACTTGCCTTTGGAGTTCCTCGCCCGCTCACCTGGCCACAAGGGCTGGGCCTGGACACGGACACAAACAGGGAGTTCCGCCTTATGGAGCTGCCGAGGGAACACAGGCACCTGGGACCCAGGGGGCCAGGCCTCAGCCATCCCCACTCGGGGAGCTCAGGAGAGGGGTGCCCCAACACATCTCTGGCCACGTGGTAACCTGTTGGAAGTCCAGGGACAGCCACCAAGAGCGCTAGATGAGAACTGAGTCCACACGACTCAGTGGAAGGCATAGGAGGCCCGGTTCAGAGCTGTGAGAATGGAGGCACTGCCATTCAGTGACCACAGGAAGGCCTTCTAGTCCCTGGGTCACTGTTGCAACCAGTGCCCAGCACAGAGACTGTGCTCTATCACAGGATGAAACGAAGGGATGATCTAAATCCTCTGGCTGACTCCCCGTCCCATGGATTAATCATTTAAACTCTTGTTATAAGGGGGAGAGGCTCTAAGAGAATACTGTTACAAGGTTCCCTGTGGGACTGGCTTAGACACACCCCCAGCAGCCCGTGGCAGCGTGAGGGTGCTCAGTGTGGCCCTGTGCTGGGCATTTCTCCCCGGCTGGTGGACACCCACGCAGCCCTCTTCTCTTGCACGGTGCAATCAGAAATCAGAGACTGGACCCCTCTCTGCAATGGCAATTCACAAAGCCCCGGCCCCATCAATAACCTCACAGTCACACCATAACCTTTTGAGAGAAAGGGCAGAAGAAGAATACATAGTGAGAAGGTTTTCCAAAGCCTACTGTGACTTAGGAGCAGCACTGTCGACAGCTGTCACCTCCCTGTCCTCTCCTGTGCCCTCCATTGGATCACAACTCTGTAGAGACCTTGCCCATGACAGGAGGTGAATAAATATCCTTTGGATGAAGAAATGAATGCACTTCAAGAAACCCATCCTACAAGGAAAAGTTTTGTTAGAATAGTGGCCCTATGCTCTTTCTTCCTCCTTAAAACCCTGGGAATTTCAGAAATTTCCGTATAAATGAGGTTCCCAAGTCCCTATTGCTATAGCTTCTTTTGGTTTATGTTTATTTTCCCCTCGCTGCCTCTTTATTCCTCTAAATCACACCTCGTTCTCTCCTGTTCTATCTCATCGCGGGAGGGAGTGTCTTGGAGCTTCTAGAGATTGGGGCCCGGATTCACCCAGGCAGCTGCGCAGGGCGGTCCCTTCCGAACTTGCCCAACTTCCTTTATAAGCAGACGGAGTCATCTGCTTTTGGTGTGCTCTTCTTATTGATTGGACTTGCCTGCAAACTGTGGTCATTGGCAGCAATTAAGTTAATGCATAATAAGATCTCGCTTGTTTATCTGAACAAGTGGGCTGGTTTTTGTACTTCCTGGCCAAGGACCCGGGAGACCCACTGAGTCGTGGACACCTGTGTTCCTTGGAGCAGTGTCGCCCAGACTGCAGGGAAGGTGCCAGAACCTGGAGATCCTGTTAAAAGGCGGGCTCTGACTCCTTAGGTCTGGGCAGAGCCCCACATTCTGACATTCTAACAAGCCCCCAGGTGATGCAGGCTGACCCGCCGCCACACTGAGAGCGTCCTGAAAGGAGACAGCCCAGCCTCCATTCCCTTTACCTAAGAAGGAGTGTCACAAAGTTATCTTTTCCATACGAACAACAACAGGCCCAGCACATTCACCTGTGTGTGAGGCACTAGGCTAAGTGCTTGCTACTTAGTTTTTGTTTTGTTTTTCAGAGACAGTTGTCATGCAATATCATTAGCTTCAAGTGTACAGCATGGTGATTAGACATTTCTATAACGTATGAAGTGATACCCTGAAAGTCTAGCACCCACCTGACACCTTGCACTGTTATTACCGTATTATTGACTGTTTCCCCTACGCTGCGTGTGCTAAGCGCTTTTTATGCATCATCTCAGATGTCATTATTCACATTTGGCAAACGACAGAGCTGAAACTTGGGGGTAGCAAGCAACCCTCCCAAAGTCACGGCGACACTAAGGGGAGTTTGGGGGTTCAAGCCCCATGTGCCTGGCCCCGGAGCCCAAGGCCCGATTCCTGCCCTGTAGAGAAGGTGCTGCCCACCTGTGCCCACAGCTTAATTCTCCGCTTACCGATGCCAACCAGCGCGGCTCTTTAACCTCATGGATGAAAGGACTCTTGATTTGAAATTCAGCTTCCCTGTAATACTTCCAGGTTCCAGACTTATTGTAGCGCCAACGCTCTTCATTAGTACTTGTCTGTGTTCTGCCTCTTCCCTGCCCTTGGCCCTGAACAGCAGGCTGTCCAACCTGCTTCTCTTACATTCGTGAGGAGCCCAAGCAGCCTTAGGACAGAATCGATGAAAGAGAAGCAGGCTTTAGAAAGAAAAGGGAAAAACCCTGATCCGCTTTGGCATGTTCAGGGCCTTTTGGACAAAAGCACATCTGTGTGAGTTTAAAAGCTTATATTTTCATACCCAAATCTCTGGCACTCAGCCTGTGGCGTTTGCTTTCTAGCCTCAGAAACTTGATTTTCTGAGGCCGTGAGTTTCATGATCCTGCCATGAAGACGAGCAAGCCCTTTCGGACCAAGGGCCTGCACTCTCCTCCACTTCTGCCAACGCTCACCTCAAACCACGGGGTCAGCCCACTCTCCGACCTGCACTGCGGTCCATACAGGCCACCGCCCCAGAGGGTGGCACAGCCCATCCCCGGATAATTTGTCACTCTCAGCCCAGGGCACCTTCCTTCCCAGCACCTAGTCATCTGCATGCACTCAGCCTGGACTCTGTACATCTTCAAAAGTACAGGTGAAACTGTGAATTTCCTGGGCAGTCCATCAATGCTTCGTGCCGGTCTTCTCCAAAACAAGCCACACATGTCATCCCCTCATCCCAGTATATTTACCCGAGAAGCAAGCACTTTGGACACACGGTTGTGTCACAATTAACTGAGTTTCCTCTTCATACTGTCGCATAGATATAAAAGAGGCTTAAATCTGAAGCAGTTGTTGCAATTAGAAAGCATAGGATGTGTATTCACTCATCCATTCACTCAGCAAACTCTACTGAGCCACGTCCCAGTGCCAGGCTCTGTGATAGGTGCAGGCCTTGCAGAGATGAAAACAACACAAGCCCTGCTCTCACGATGCCAGGGAGAGAGACAGGTGCTCTGATGCCCAGGGCACGTGGTGCCATGCCGAGGCAGACACAAGGCACTGTGGCTCAAGAAGACCTGACCAGGGAGCTCAGTGCCCATGCCAAAGCGGCCCCTCTGGGAGCCATCGAATGCTGGAGCTGGAGCCACTGGGTGTCACCCTTCAGGGCCACCCAGTACAGCTTGACAGGGTTCCATGGCAAGTACAAAAGATGCCCTTCCCATCACAGTCGGTGTGCATGGGGTCCTTTGAGTTGTGCAGTGTCCAGCCTGCAGAAGGGCACGGGGAGCCCCGGCATCCTTCCCTGAGGACCAGAAAGGCACATTGCCCGGTCCCTCAGCTGGGAAGGGCTGGCACTATACCACGGTGCCCGCTGCTTCCAGCCAACCTTCTTCATCACTGATGCTTTGAAACCTAAACACCACTATCCCCAAAATAAGTCCAAACTCCGAAGAAACCTCATTTCCTATGGTACCCTGATTTTACCCAATATGAGGAGGAACGAAGGAAGCTGCCCTGTGAGCTGCACCCAGGTGTTCACATGCGGGTGCTCTTTGCTTGGTGCCCAGTGTCCCAACACTGGGCTGCTTGCTGGAGCCGTTTCAGCCAGGTCCTTGCCCCGCTGTACCGCTGCCAGCTGTTTGCAGCTCTTTTAAGTGACATGTTTGTTTTTTGATTGATTATCAGCGTCTGCTTACCTGAAACCTTCCCTTATTTTCCTCTCCTAACCCCAGGTGTCGTTTAGGTACCACTGTCGATTGTACAACGAATGGCGTCGGACCAATCAGAGGGTGATTCTCCTCATTCCAAAGTCTGTCAACATACCTTCTAACCAGCAGTCCTTGCTGGGCCTCCATTCTGTCAAGAGGAACTCAAAAGAGACAATTGTCTGACATCTGTGTGGTTGGTTGGTTGACTCGTTGTTTGGGTTTGGAAGTATCTGCATTGGGGCCATGCCCTGAGATACCCCCAAACCCTTCCCGAAGCCCGTGGGTCTAAGGACATCCAGAGCCGTGTGAGCACAGCGCCCGGAGCAACGAACTCCGCCAGGAGAAAGCGAATGCTGTTTCACTTCCAGTCATGGATGCTGCAGTCATATGATATTTACTAAGCTGCCAAACTTGTTTATTTAGCAGATACTGTATGGAACTTTCCGAACACCTCTTTTAACCAATGAGGAAGGCTGTCCTGCTGAGGATGCAATTCGATTCTTCCTTTTTATTATTATTTCAAATATATAAACTTATTAAACTTAGATGATAATCAAATTGAAAAGCCAATGTTAAAACTGGTGTCTTGGTTTGGATGGGTTTTGTTGGATTCGTTTACTTGTTGCCGGTTTCTCCTGTGGATTCTTTGGGGTCATTTGATAGCTTAAATGGTCTTTTTCATCTCTTTTATGTCCCATTCTCAAGGGGACAGCATAACAACTGCAAAACAAGTCATGTTTGAAGGATGTTTTGTACTAAATCTCATGTAAGTATTCAGACTTTAAAAGAACAAGAGGTGTGGCAGCTCTCCCCACAGTGCGCTGTTTATTTAATTCTCATTAAGGAGGAAAAAAGAAAAAATATGGTGAGAAGCACGCTCCTGTCAACTCGTGTGGTACTGACGGCTGGTCGAAGCTATTTTCTAATAATAAATATCCAGTGTGTGAAAGACAAACCCCACTGATTGCAGTACTTTCTGTTTTAATCATAAAACCCTGTGAAGTTTCCCAAGGTAGATTTTAAGAAGGAAAAGGAAAAAACGTTGGTGTCATTTAGTGCGTGTCTTAATTCTGCATTCCCAGCGACTGGGAGGATCATTAGACATTTCTAGGAACCCTGAACCTGTTTTGCATGTCAATTAGCACTCCCATTGCTCTATTGAATTTCCAGCTTGACAGGTAGATGTGGCAAAAAAAGCCTGTCCTAGCCTCTCAGACCCCTTTGTCTCAGTTCCAGAACACAGCCCCACACAGTACCTTCCCCCAACCACAGGCCGGTCCTGTCGCAGATGAAATAGGCTTTTTCTGAGGGCTGCGTGTCCCTCTCTTATCTATGGCAGTGTCAAGGGTACAGACTGTCCCCGCGTCTGTGCGCCCCGAGAAGCCGGGAGCAGATGTGCGGTCTGAGGAAGCACCGCTCAGACTCCCGCTGCCCGCCCGCCCGCCCCACGCGCGGAGGAGAAGGCAGAGCCCAGCTTCGGGAAATGCGTAAAATATGGATTTCTGCAACATGACCCACATTCCTAATATCACTCCAGCGGCTGCCTTACGCTCCCCGCCTGGGAGAACAGAAAGTGCCGAGGAGCAGCAGCGAGGAGGGTAACGATCTTTGTCTGCAGATGGATCAAGCTGATGCAGGTGTCGCCTTTGTCTGCAGAGCCCTCGGCGAGCAGGCTGCTGCCCGCGCTGCCTGGGGAGGGAACAGCTGTACTGCTCGCCGCTGCAAAACTCAGATGTGCTTTATGGCTTGTGACAATGGATCTCCTCCCACCACGCTTCACTTCGGCACTTCAATTCCAGTAATATACGCCTCGGCCCTTCTGTTTCCTCGGCCCTGCTCACCCCTCTGGGCTGTCATGCGCTGCATCACCATCAACCGTTTCTTAATTGACCTTTTTAAAATGCTGGACACCACTGGCTGCATGCAGCTGTCACACGCTAAATTTCCAGCACCAGGAGTCCAACTTGGGAGCGAGCTGGTGAATAGCAGCCCTGCAATATAGTGGATGAATGAGGTGCAGCCGGCCTTGGTCCCTGAGCTGTCGGGTTAACCAGTGGCACCTCTCCACTGAATGGCGCCCCCACGAGAGGACCACACCCTCTCCTCGCTGCTGCTGCCATGAATTCAGGAAGCGGCAGATTCCCAGCATCCTTCCTGTCAAGGTTGGCTTCGGAGAATCCCCGCTGTCTCGGTTCATAAGATGAGATATGATGTGAAATATCAAAGGCCGGCAGGTTCCGGCAGCTCGCTGGGGCCCCTGCGCTGGGAGGGTTGACACAGTGATACTGTGCTGGTGCCACACCTTTCCCCCCATGCTTGCACCGCTCCCTGGAAAACCAGGCAGAGTCCAAGTCAGAGGCGTAGGTGCCTGTGGGGTGGGGGGCCGCTGAGAGCTGAGCTGAGCCGGGGTAGCTGAGCCGGGGTAGCGTCAGTGCCTCCCTGCCAGGAACCTCCTTTTGAGAGACTCTGACCCCCACCAGTGCCAGGGCTCACCTGGGATTCTGCAAGTTCTTGGCAGACACTTCCTCCCCTCTTGGCCTTTGAACCCTGAGGCTGTCCAAGGAGGGAGAGTCTGGGAACTGTGCACATGCACAAGGCACCAGCCAGGAGGGCAGGAGGCAGTGCCAATTCCAGCCGAGGCTCTACATCTGTCACCCAGACAGGCTGCCTCCGGGGGTGACCAGCAGCCCTGCTAGCCTTTACTCTGCTTTTTTTTTTTTTTTTGAGATCAACACGAAGCAGGGAAAGGAGTGAAGAGGGGCAGGCTGAGGACCTTGTGGTTCAATGCTTCCCTCCACCAGCTTCCTACACAGCCCCATGTGTGCTCCTTGCCGCGTCCTGGCCTACCCACTTTCCTTGAGAGCATTAGGCAGAGACAAATGCGTGTCACTGTGCAGCCAGAGGGGAGACCATGCTCTCGCCTGCCCCGGGTGTGCGCATGTGTGTTCCTGCGTGTTCCCGTCGGGGGGGACAGAGAGCACGAGCACACGTGCCACTTCCACAGCTCCTCGGAGAGTGAGCAGGAGCCCGGATGAGCTGTGAAACCCAGTGAAGGGAAAATAAACAGCATGACGTGGAAGCTGCTGCGTTTGTCTTCTGTGTCCTGTCCCCCCCGCCTGCGCCCTCGCTGCCCTGCACTGTCACTGTCGTCGGGCGGCAGTCACCGTCATTTCATGTTCAGTGAAGGCAAGTTATCTGGGGCCTTGGAGGAGCCACAGGAGAAAATGGAGGACAGACAGCAGCCGGGTACACGTCAGCCAGCGGCCAGCGGCAGGTCCCATTTCTCCCCAGGCCTCTTCGTTCTGCTCTTGGCACCGGCTCAGTCTGGCCCAGGCTGTCTCGGCCTCTCCTGACACTCCACACAGCCTACTGGGCACCGTGGCTCGCACAAAATCTTTGTCTTCAACCTACCCTCCCCGGGGACTGACTACTCCCTCGGCCAGAAGGAACTAAGGAGGAAAGATCCCGAGGAAGGGAAATTGGTGCGTGCTTCCTTTCCACTTTAAGCTGGAGCGTTCCCAGGGCTACCTGAAGTTCAGCCGCTCAGCCCTAGTGCTGGGTGAGACATGTAGGCTGTGATTCTAAAGCCTTACATGGGATGGGAGCGGGTAGGGGGGGCCAGCAAATGGGACAGGGCTCAGGATTATTTCAGGACAAGAGGCAGGGACCAGGATGGAGGTGGCCACCCCTCCAGGCAAGCGCTGGGAGGATGCGTGGACTGTGGCAGGAGACGGGTGCTGCAGACGTTGGAATCGGAGAAATGGGCCCTCCCAATGGTGACGCCTGGGCAACTGCAGACCTTCTCCAAACGTGTCGGTTCTTCAGAAATACTCGGGCTGGAGTGCTCTGCAGTCCACCCTGTTTGGCTTTACAGTGTCCTGTGTCTAGGAGCTGCCTCTGGGACATCCAGCCTTTCCCTTGGGTTTAGTTGTCATGAGTGATTCTGGCTCTTTGCCCCGTGCCACGGAATGGGAGGAGCCGGCCTCGAGTCAGGCCACGAGAGCCCGATAAGGCGCCCACCAGGGGCCAGGGCATTGTTTTTACAGAATAACAACTACGATCATGTTCTTCTGCTCTGTAGACAGGAAGCTCAGACTGGCTCTGGGGAAATTTGCAAATAACTTTGCTAATATATGTGAACTCGTACGGAGATCAAAAAAGTCACTGACTTTTTCTCTCATTTACCTTCCTTCTCACTGCCCCCGCCTCGTAAAAGCCAGGCCAACCACATTTCATGCCTTCACTTGAGCAGCTGGGGGCTGGGGCAGCTCCATGAAGTCACAGGACACCACTCAGAGCTTCCCCGCCTGCCGCAGGCGTCCGAGGCTGGTGGCCAGCCGCAACCCTGACCCAGGAGTGTGGAGACCCATTAGGGGCGGCTGTGGTGAGTGAGCCAAGATCTATTGTGGATCTATTCTGCGGCCTCTGTGAGGGCGCAGGACTCAGTCCTGTGGGCAACATCTCACAACATGATCAGCGATCCTGGACAGGTCTGTGTGTGCGGAGACACTCCCCAAAGGCGCACTCCGATCTGGGAGGGGTGGCGCAGGGCCCCGGGGCTCACAGAACAATAGGGGGGAGCAGTTCTGGCTGGAGCGACCTCTGGAGGCTGCAGAATCGGGGGCCTGAACCTCCTGCCTCAGAAGCCTGTGCTAGCAGGGAGGGTGAGAGGGAAGAACCTAACAGGTATCAGTTAATCTGCTTCATCCCAGGTGGGAAGGAATCAGACTCAACCAAGGTCTGCAAAGATCAAGGGACTTTCAAACATGCACCCTGTTTGAGGGGGTTCAGGTGGGATTTATTTTGTCTAATGCACTTGGTGAGATTGCAGTGCCGTGGACCATGCCCAAGTGCAAGACCCGGGTCCTCTCTGTATATCTCTTACGGGTCCCTCGTTATGACGCAAAGTCTTCAGAAACTGGGCACACCTGATGGTGGTCTCTACAGGCCATTTTCCTGCTAAACAGAATCAGGTCCCCTGGAGAAATGTCCGACTCTAGGTCAGGGACAGGAACTGTGTAAGATACATCTGGAGCACCTTGTCACACCAGGAAGCAAGGAGACCATGTGGCGGTGTCCAGCGGACACGGGATACAACTTACAGAGAATGGGCTCCACCAGCATAAGCTGAACTACATGAGCACCACAAAGAGTAACGACTGCCCTGAACTGTGAGACATCAGCTGGGTTAAAATGCATGAGCTTCCAATGATTCTTTAAGAAAACACAACTCGCCGGTTATCTTTGGAGCCTGCTAAGTAACCAAATCATTATTCTGATAACTGCTTTAAAAAGAGACTCGTGTGTGCACTGCATCTTGGGGTGTAACTGATGAGGAGTTTTCCCGAGAGGAAGTACACATGTAGAAGTAATGTAGAGCCTAAATACTGCAGAATCTAAATGAAATAATCCACCTGCCAAATGATCATTAGAAGATGCTAAGACCACAGTTGATGGGGAACTTAGTAACAGGGGTCAGACCCTCCACACCTAACCCTACAGATCACTCCTAACTCCACAAAAAAGGAGAGAACTGCCACCACGCGCCCCTGGCTGTGATGCAATAGGAAGTATGCAGAGA